TGATGATGCTGATGCTGATGCTGATGCTGATGCTGATGCTGATGGAGGAGAAGGAGGAGAAGGAGGAGAAGGAGGAGGAGGAAGAGGAGGCGGAGGACGAGGACGAGGATGAGGAAGGGGAGGTAGGTGGGGCAGCAGGAGGAGAAAGGAAGGACGGAAGGAAGGAAGGACGGACGGAAGGAAGGACGGAAGGAAGGAGGAGGAGGAGGAGGAAGAGGAGGAGAATGAAGAGGTGGAGGAGGAGGAGGAGGAGGAGGAGGAGGTGGAGGAGGAGGAGGAGGAGTGAGGAGGAGGAGAGGAGGAGGAGGGAGGGGAAATGAATAGGAGGGGAAGGAAGGAAAGAAGGAGGGAGAGGAGCTGGGGGAGGAGGAGGATGAGGAGGAGGAGGAGGCAGGAGAGGAGGAGGAGGAGGAGGGAGGGAGGAGGAGGAGGAGGGAGGAGGAGGAGGAGGGGAGGAGGAGGTGGAGGAGAGGAGGAGGAGGAGGAGGAGGAAGGAAGGAGGAAGGAGGAAACAGGAGGGATGAGGGGGACGAGGGAGGAGGAAGGAGGGAGGAGGAGGGAGGAAAACAGGAGGGACGGAGGGTCGAGGCGAGGACGAGGACGAGGAAGAGGAGGAAGGCGGAGGGGGGGGAGGGGGGGGGAAGGAGGAGAGAGGGGAGGGAGGAGGGAGGAGGAGGAGGGAGGGGAGGAGGGAGGGAGGGTGGAGGGAGGAGGAGGAGGAGGAGGAGGAGGGGAGGGAGGAGGAGGAGGAGGAGGAGGTGGATGGAGGAGGGAGGAGGAGGAGGAGGTGGAGGAGGAGGAGGAGGAGGAGGAGGGAGGGAGGAGGATGGGCGGCCCTTTGCTGCAGTGGCCTCCTGGGGCGCTTCCTTCGAGGGGCCTCTGGAGGACCAGACCCGAACACGCGGGGTGCCCCTGTCGCGCAGGCCTGCCCACCACAGCAGTCGGGCGTAGGGATCGGGAGAGAGCCGGGCCGAGGTAGAAGTCGGCGGCGAGCGAGGGGGGCAATTCTCGGGTTCGAGATTCGAGGTTTCTGGGCGTTTTCGTCGGTTCTCGGCGGTTTTCCAGCCTCGGGACGCGTTCCAGCGGCTGCGCCTCGGCGAGGGCGTTCCACGGGTGCCGGATCGTCCCGAACGGCCGCCGGAGACCCCAGTTATGACCCAAGACTAGAGCCAAAGTCGGCTGCGAGCGAGGGGGGGTTAATGAGAAGGAGAAGGCACTTCTGTTTCCTGGCTGACGTAGGAGGAGGAGGAGGAGGACGAGGAGGAGGAGGAGGAGGAGGAGGAGGAGGAGGGAGGAGATGGAGGAGGAGGAGGAGAAGGAGGAAGAGGAGGAGGAGGAGGAGGAGGAGGAGGAGAAGGGGGGATACATCTGGAGGAGAAGGCCTTCTGAGAAGGCGGCGGGGCTCCTCGGAAGCCCTCGCGCCTTCTGAGAAGTTCTGTTCCTTCTTCTGGGGAGGCTTAGGGCAAAATCTCAGAAGGCCAGGGGACTTCCGAGCTTTCTGAGAAGGCCTGCCGTCGAATAAGATCGAGGTCGATTCGGGGAGGGTACCCTAATTCGTGTTCTTCGTGTTCGTTGGACGTTCTTGCGCACCCTGGGGAGGGTAACCTTGGACCTTCTTTGTGTTTTGGAGGGCGGAGGGTCTTATGTGTAAGTCGGGCCTGTCCCTTCTACAGGAGGAATTTTGAAAAATAGTAAACAGGGGGCGAAGTTTTGACTAGTTGTGATGTTTTTGAATATCTTTAGACTACTTTTTACATTTCGGCCACAATCCCCCTGTAGGAGGACACGCCCGACCTAATTTTACGTCATTGAGGGGTGTTCTTGTGGCCTAGGTCCGAATATATGATCAGGATGGATCGTTCTGGCATGTTCAAGAACGCTCTTGAACGACCACCGCGCCCGATACATCCTCCAGAACCGCCAGACAGCAGAGATTCCCGACGCGTCCCGATCCGACTGTGGCCCCGTCCCCGGCCTTGTTGTACCAGAGGTCGCTCGTGCCCAGGGCCACTCCTTCGCGTAGCGGGATCACGTGCAACACGGCGCTGGGCGCGTGCTCGCGGGCGGCGGAGTGGTCGGCGGCGGTGCTCCTGCTGCGGGACATGCCCCGCCGGCGGCTCCGCGCGGACGCGGTCAGCTTCAGCACCTGCATCACGGCCGGGCACAAGGCGGGCAGGTGGGACCTCGCGGCGGGCCTGCTGGCGGACATGCGCGGCCGGAGGTCGCCACGAATGGAGGAGGAGGAGGAGGAGGAGGAGGAGGAGGAGGAGGAGGAGGAGGAGGAGGAGGAGTGGCAAGAGCAGGACGAGGGGGGATGAAGAGTAGGAGGAGGAAGTAGATGATCGTGGCAATGATGCTGATGAGCATGGTGCTCTGTGTTTGGGGCTGCGCGGGGCGGCAGTCAGCTGAGGCCCCTGTCTGGCACGCTGTTCGGTCTCGTGCCGCCCAAGACCGTCCCGACAGAAATTGGTCCTGAGGTTTTTCAGTGTTCTGGTCCTCCTGGGGCCCGGGACAGGCAAACAACGATTCAGGACGAACACCCGGTCCCGGGGGAAGGCCCCAGGGTCCAGGACACGTCTCTGTTGATGGGCTTGTTTTCCACCACCACCACCATCATAAGTTGGAGGGGGAGGTGGTCCTCCTCCTCCTCCTCCTCCTCCTCCTCCTCCTCCTCCCCATGCCGATGGCTTCTGCAGCCCCGGGGGGCGGTCGTTGTGCAGGACGCATGGGGCGCCGGTAAGGGCGTGCGCAAGGCGCACGCCCGACGAGCACCTGCACAATGTCCCCTGGGGTTAGGAAGCCAGGGCGACACCGGCATAAGAGGTACTTACGGTACCTCAATGTTGTCAGAAGGCACACGCGGGCATATGCTACGCATGGCTCCCCGTGCGCAGGCGAAGGCCAGCGGCAGTGCCGCGTTTCGCGCATCCACTGATTATGCCAGGCTTCGCGCATCCGCAGATTATGCACGCACGTCGCGAGGCATTCGCCTCAAGGACACAGCCCGGCGGCAAGCCGGCGGTCCTGCACAATCTCACTCTCTCCGCTTACCATGGTTTGCCTCCTTGCAGACGGTGGCCAGCGGCCGTGCAAGCTGTCGCGCGCCGCGGTGTTGCACACTTGTCGCGAGGCATTCGCTTCAAGGACACAGCCCGGCGGCATGGCCGGCAGTCCTGCACAATATCTTTCTGCGCGGCTACCATGGTTGTCTCTTTTTCATTTCATTGTCAGTTGTTTGTGCATTCGCAGATAATGCAAGCATGTCGCGAGGCAGTCGCCTCAAGGACACGGACTGGCGGCAAGGCCAGCAGTCCTGCGCAGGCTCACTCTTTGTGGCTACCACGGCTTGTCTCCCATTCGGCGCTGGCCAGCGTCAGGGCCAGCTTCCGTGCGCCCACAGTTTATGAACGCACGTCGCGAAGCATTCGCCTCAAGGACACAGCCCGGCGTCAAGGCCGGCAGTCCTGCTCAATTGCACTTTGTTGCCACGGTTATCTCCTATCTGGCGCCGGCCAGTTTCAGTTTCAGCCTACGTGCTTCCATTGTTTACGCAAGCATGTCGCGAGGCATTCGCCTCGAGGACACAGCCCGGCGGCAAGCCCGGCAGTCCTGCATAATCCCATGTTGTCCGGCTTGCATGGTTTGTCTTCTACCAACGTTCATTGCCAGTTTTCGCGCATTCGCATTTGTTGCAAGTATGTCGCGCGGCAGAGGCCTCGAGGACACAGCCTCGCGGCAAGGCCGGCTGTCCTGCGCAGTCTCACTTGTTGCGGCTACCACGGGTTGTCTTCTATTAGTCGTCGATGGCCAGCGTCAGGGCCAGCTTTCGTGCGTCCACAGTTTATGAACGCACGTCGCGAGGCATTCGCCTCAATGACACAGCCTGGCGGCCAGGCCGGCAGTCCTGCACAATCGCACCTGGCTACCATAGTTATCTCCTATCAGAGGCTGGCCAGCTTCAGGTCCAGCTTTCGTGCATCCACAGATTCTGCAAGCATGTCGCGAGGCATTTGCCTCAGGGACACAGCCCGGCGGCAAGGCCGGCAGTCCTGCATAATCTCATCCTGGTTAGCGGCAAGGCCGGCAGCGTTGCACAGTCTCACTCTTTGCGGCTACCATGGGTTGTCTTCTATCCGTCGATGGCCAGCGTCAGGGCCAGCCCTCGTGCGTCCACAGATTTTGAACGCACGTCGCGAGGCATTCGCCTCAAGGACACAGCCCGGCGACAAGGCCGGCAGTCCTGCACAATCGCACTTTGCTACCATGGTTATCTCGTATCAGAGGCTGACCAGCTTCAGTTTCAGCTTGCGTGCATCCACAGATTATGCAAGCATGGCGCAAGGCAATTGCCTCAAGGACACAGTCTGGCGGCAAGGCGGGCAGTCCTGCACAATCTCCTTCTGTCCGACTACCATGGCTTGTCTCCTGTTAGACGCTGGCCAGCGTCCGGGCCAGCTTTCGTGCATTTACAGATTATGCACGCACGTCGTGAGGCACTCGCCTCAAGGACATAGCCCAGCGGCAAGGCCGGCAGTCCTGCATAATATCATTATGTCCAGCTACCATGGTTAGCCTCCTGGTAGACGCTGGCCAGCGTCCGGGTCAGCTTTCGTGCATCCACAGATCATGGTCCACATGAGTAAGCTCCACCCTGTGGGGAGTGTTCAGAAAAGCAGTTTGCCACAGGGGCAATTCCACATTCCATTGTAAGCCCCCAACACGTGTGAATCAAGCAAAGACGCCGTCCAACATGACATTCAGAAACACGGCCGCCAACAACAAAATTATCCCGGCAAAGCAACCTAACAGCGATGTGTAGAAGCATAGCTGGAAATATTGCCTGTGGTATTCATGTAAGAGTGCTGTTGTAGAATTCTGGTGTTCTCGCAGTCGCATTCGGATTCGCAGTGGCAGTCGCAGTGGCAACATCAGCGGCAGTCGCAGTGGCACTGCCAGTAGTTGCAGTAGCAATATCTACACTAGCAGCAGCAACAGCAGTAGCAGCAGTAATAGTAACAGTAGTAGTAGCAGTAGAAGTAGTAGTGATGGTAGTAGTGGTAACAATGAAGTAGTAGTTGTAGTGTGTGGAGTGAACGAGTAGGAGTGATGGGAGCAGTGCCTCGACGAGCGTTTGCAGAGTACCGCTCAATGCAGCACGCTGAGGAGCAGCGCTGTTCCCTGCCGCAGGCTGAGGAGCACCGCTGTTCAATGCAGCAGGGTCAGGAGCACCGCCGCCAGACCGAGAACTATCAGCATCTGGTGGCATTAAGGTGTGCAGTAGGCGCTGCGCAGTTCCTTTGAAAGGAACTCTTCGAAAGCAGGGCTGTAGCCAAGAAGGCTACGGGGACGATGGTGATGATGATGATGATGATGATGATGACGATGATGATGATGATGATGATGATGATGATGATGATGATGATGATGATGATGATGATGATGATGATGATGATGAGTCTTGGAAGTCTGGGAAGTGGAAGAACACGAAGTGGCGTACAGTTGGTTCCGGGCATTCAAAATGTTGCCCGGGAGTGAAGTTCTGGGAAGTGGAAGAGCACGAAGTGGTTTACAGTTGGCTCCGGGCATTCAAAATGTGGCCCGGGAATGCTGTTCTGGGAAGTCCAAGAGCACGAAGTGGCCTACAGTTGGCTCCGGGCATCCAAAATGTGGCCCAGGAGTGAAGTTCTGGGAAGTCGAAGAGCACGAAGTGGCCTACAGTTGGCTCCGGGCATCCAAAATGTGGCCCGGGAATGGAGTTCTGGGAAGTCGACGAGCACGAAGTGGCTTACAGTTGGCTCCGGGCATTCAAAATGTGGCCCGGGAATGGAGTTCTGGGAGGTCGAAGAGCACGAAGTGTGCGACTGCTTGCTTAAAACGAGCCCGGTTCTCGCCTGTCCGGCTCCCGCCCAGACCCCCTTGGGGAGTCATCGGATGTTTTCTTTTGACTCCATTAGAAACCTATCAGTCTTCGCTGTTAGGTAACACATTGATCACGCCTCCGTCGGAGGCACAACAGCATTGGCGCGCGCGCCCGCCGTACAAGCAGACGCACACAACGTGCAGCACATGCGAGTCAACGCATGTACTTCGAATGACTAGCGAGCCAAAGCGGCACTTGACGAGGAGGATCCGTACACCTCCTCCTCTTCCTCGTCGCAGTCCGCATGCTTTGAGCCCCTAGGCACGGCGGTGCTGGGCTTGGGTATACCATGCTTGTGCCAGGGCACGTCAGGCCAAAATCCCCGGCGGCTATTTTCGACGCCGCGTCAGGCCAAAACCCCCGGCGGGTTTTCCTAGGCCTCGTCAGGCCGTACTCTCCTGCGGTACTGTATTTCATATCTTCCGGGTCCGTCGATATTTCGATGTACCGGTCCATCTGCATGGCCACGATGGCTGGACCCGTTCCGGGGCCCGCCGCTGGGCCCTAGTTGGGTCCAGCCCCCCCTTTCCACCACCGCTCCCACTAAAGTAGGCCGCCCTGACACAGCAGCCCAGAGGAGTGTCCGTTTGAGCACGCGTGCGCTTCGGGCATTCCACGTTCGAGCGGGGTGGGAAACGTAACGAATTTCCCCCCCTTGAGCGGGAGCTAACCTACTCTTGCTCCTAGAGGCGGAAGAACGTTGAATCCGCCGAGGCACCCATCTCATACCTCACTCTGCTTCGACTGGGCGTGACGGCCCAGCCGCGATCACAATGTTGGGGCGTGCCGGCATATCCGCAATCACCTGCTGCCGCACGTTATGGCCCTAGATTGTTGCGGCCGGTGGGGCGGACAAATCGTGCCCCCCACGCAGGCACCTTCAGAACACCGGATAGCTGATCAGCTCACCGGTGCACTGCGGCAGCGCCCCGTGGGGCGAGCAAATCGTGCTTCCCCAGGGCACGCGTAGGACACCGGTTAGCTGGACAGCTCACCGGTGCACGGCGGCTGCGCCCCGCGGGGCGGTCAATTCGTGCCCCCTCTGGGGCACCTGCAGAACACCCATTAGCTGGGCAGCTCACCGGTGTCCTGCGGCTGCTTCGACCTCGTGGCAGCAAAAAGCGACTCGGTCTCTGTCTCTCGCCCGCTGCCGCGCGCTCTGATTCTAGTTTGTTGCGCCCGGTGGGGCGGACAAATCGTGCCCCCCCCCCCACCTCCAGGCATCCTCATTACAATGCTTAGTTGGACAGCTCACCAGTGCACTGGCTAGGGGTAGCAAGCCTCCCTGACCTTGTAGCACCCGGTGAGCTTCCACAGGAACTCCCTACAAGGCTAGGGAGTCAGCGTCTGACGCAATTCTGGGGGATGCCAGCTCATCCTCCGACCAGGCGATGTGACACGCTTCGCGCTTCATCACTTGCATGATAGGCGGCGACGTCACTTGTCGAGAAGCCCCCACCGCCTAACCGCACGCGTTGAACAGAGGTGGCTGTCTCGGGCGTGTCGACCACACGTACCGTCCACCATTACTCGGTGCCTTCAACGGTCCCCGCACAGGCTCTGGGACCACAAGGGTTGCCACCCCAACCCTCACGAGCACCGCTCCAGGATGGGAGAGCCCATGTGTCCCATCCGACTGACAGGGTCATGCCTACCCTCAAGGGCATCAGCGCTACACTACGATCCTCCTCCTCCACCTCCTCCTCCTCCTCCTCCTCCTCCGCCTCCTCCTCCTTCTTCCCCCATCCAACTTATGGTGGTGGTGCTGGTGGAAAACAGGCCCATCATCTGTCATGCCAGTGAGGGTCGCTCCCAACATCATCACGTTCAACGCGTCCGTGACCGCGCTGACGGCGGGTCAGCAGTGGGAGTCGGCGGTGTCGCTGCTCGGCGATATGCAAGAGGTGCGGCTGCAGCCGGACCTCAGGGGCAACGATAGAGGGGGGATAGGCATAGGAGGGGACGCATCGACCCCCAATCGCCCATTGATTGCCGATAGGGGCCCGATAGCCCCAACCTGCCCAGGCAGATGCGGATTCACGGCCAGAGGCCTATCGCCGATCTATCGGCGATGCATCGCCGATTTCAGGTCGATGCATCCCCCCCTACGCAAGCCCCCCCCCCTTTAGCGCTGCCCCTCAGGGGGCAACCAGGAGGAGGAGGAGGAGGAGGAGGAGGAGGAGGAGGAGGAGGAGGAGGAGCTGCCCCCCCTGTGCCAGTCCCCCCCCTGTCGCTGCCCCCCAGGACCTGTGCCCGTACCGTGCCTCCGTGGACGCCCTGTTCCACGCCGGCAGACGCGTCGAGGCGGCGCGCCTCTACCGCAGGGCGCTGCAGCCGGGGATCGCCGCCTACCGCCCCGCGGCAGGGAGGGGGGGGAGGAGAGGCAGCGGCTAGGGCCGGGCACGAGGGCTCCCCTGACCCAGATCTCCTGGCGTCGTGTAAGAATCACGACGGGAGGTTTGTCGCTATTTTCGGCCTCCGGGGGCCCTCACCGGGCCTCGGGAACGTCAAAAAACGACTCAGGACGAAGAACTGGTCCTGGGGAAGGGGTCCAGACCTCTGGGGGTCGACGTTGTCAAAAAAATCACGACGTCGGGGGTCTGGGGAGGCAGCGGCTACAGCCGGGCACGAGGGCTCCCCTGAGATCCGACGCTCCCACAAGAACTGGGGCAGGCGGGTTTTGACAGCTGTCGGCCTCCGGGGGGCCTCGCCGGGCCTCGGGAGCGTCGAGAAGCGGCTCAGGACGGGAGGCCGGTCCCGGGAGAAGTGGTCCGGACCTCCGGGGTCCACGTATCGAAAAAATTTGAATAGCCGGATGTCCAGGGAGCTCGCTGCGGGAGGCGCCGCCAAGGGTCTCCGTGCTCGTGCAGCCGAGTAGCTGGTGTGCGCCACCGGAGTCCGCTGCGTGCATGCTGAGTTCGGCTTGTCAGGGCACCAAAAATGTGCGGGGTTGCTTGAGCTGTCATCTTTAGAAGGCAGTCACCCTCCTCATCCTCCTCCCCCTCTTCCTTCTGGTCATCCTCATCATAATGTTACTGCTGCTGCTGCTGCTACCGCTACTGCTACTGCTATTGCGCATCATCGTCGTCATCATCATCATCACCATCATCACCATCACCAGCACCATCACAATCACCACCAACCTCGTCCTCCAGGGGCATTGGCTATCACCATAATCATCACCCTCGTCCTTCTCATCCTACACTCCGATCATCATCCCCGTCATCTTCCTGTTCATATAGTATCATCTTTCTCGTGCTGTGCCGCCTCCGACTCATCATCGTCACTTTCCCCTCGGTATTCTCCCGCCCGCTTAATATGTACCCGCGTCATCATCCCCATCATCCCTCTCGTCATCCTCATCCGTCTCTCCCTCCTCTCTCTCTCTCTCTCTTTCTCTCTCTCTCTCTCTCTCTTTTTTTTCTCTCTCTCTCTCTCTCTCTCTCTCTCTATATATATATATATATGTGTCTCCCTTTCTCGCTCTATCCCTCTCTCTCTATTTCCCTTGGTCTCTCTCTATCTCTCTCTCTCTGTGTCTCTCTCTCTCTCTCTCTTTCTCTCTCTCTCTCTCTCCTTCTCTCCCTCTCTCTCTCTCTCTCTCTTCCTTTATATCACACGCACTTTCTCTCTCTCTCTCTCTTTCCCTCTCGCGCGGTATCTCTCTATAGTAATCGCTCTTCCTCCTTCCATCCTTCCTTGTTTCGGTGCTAGACATGCACGTGCATGTGTACATAAGCACGCATGCGCACGCGTACGTACGCATGCATTTGTACATACATATGCTTATGTGTGTGGGTATACGGTATGCACATACATAATTACACACATACGTACGTCTGTTAGCCAGCGTGGACCCCACACAATATGCTTCCAGCGATATACGATTTGTAATACATTGGTGCAATTTATGGTGTGCAACCCACTCTGCTGAACTTGAAGTCGTCATCTCCACTGCTCGCGCAAACATCCCACACACCCACCCGCAACTTGGTTTGCAAAACCTCCTAAGACCGACTACGACGACACCGACGACAACGACGACGACGACACCGACGACGTCTCCGACGACTTCGACGACGACAACGACGCCGACGCCGACGACGACGAAGCCGACGACGACGACGCCAACGAACGCGACGACGATGGAGGAGGAAGGACGACGACGGCGACAACGACGACAACGGCGACAAAGACGAGGGAGGAGGGAGGACGGCGGCGACGCGAACGACGACAAAGGAGGAAGGACGGCGACGCCGACGACGACAACGACGAGGGAGGAGGGAAGACGGCGACGACGACAACGACGACGACGATGGCGACGAAATAGGAGGGACGACGACAAGACACCGACGACGGACTACGACGACGACGTGGGAGGAGGAGGAAGGACGACCACGGCGACAACGACGACGGAAACGACCACGGCGCCAAAGAGGACGACGACGACGAACACGAGAAAAGACAGAGGACGACGTAGGCGACGACGACGACGACGACGACGCGGGAGGAGGGAGGACGGCGACGACGACGACGACGACGACGCAAGAGCGCGCGCGCGCATGCTTTTGTTGAAAATCCGTGTTGCGAATCCTTCGGTTGTTGTGCATTTTTTTGACGCACGATGTTGAAATCCTCCCGAAACCGATGGGTTTTGAAGGTTTTCGGCGTACGCCCGCGACGACGCGCGCGTCTGCACTTCGTTCCATTTTTTGCAGAGGATTCTCGCGACGGCACACGCGCAAGGGCGTTTGACAGATTTCGGCATGCGCGCGCGCGAAGCCCGTTTGGTAGCATTTTTTGAAAATCTTGAAAAACCAATGGTTTTCTTAAGAGTTCGCAAGAGCTCGCGCGGAAGCCTTTTCAGCAAATCAGTGTTGCGAAACCATGTGTTTTTTGGTAGCTTTTTGGAACGAAATCCTTCCGGCACCGAAGGTTTTCGATGGATTCTGGCATGCGCGCGCGACGACGCGCGCGTGTGCATTTCGTCCCATGTTTTGCAAGGGATTCGTGAGAAAGTGCTATGTTAGAACAAAAGATGTCTCCGCATAGTGTTTTTTTCCAGGGAACCTAAGGGGGGGGGAACCCGGCCTGGCTGGGATGATATGATTTCATATTTGGGATGGACGAGTGTGCAGAATATAAATGAAATTATACTATCCCAGGGGGGAGCGATAAGTCCGGGGGGGATCGAGTTTCTTCTTCTTTTAGAAAGGAGAATTAATTTTTGACCGTCTTGAAGCTGTCCTCTCCATTGCTCGCGCAAACATCCCACCCACCCACCCGCAACTTGGTTTGCAAAACCTCTCAATTCCGACTACAACGACACCGACGACAACGACGACGACGACACCGACGACGTCTCCGACGACTTCGACGACGACACCGACGCCGACGACGACGACGACGAGGACGACGACGACGACGCCAACGAAGGCGACGACGAGGGAGGAGGAAGGACGACGACGGCGACAACGACGACAACGACGACAACGACGACAACGACGAGGGAAGAGGACGGACGGCGGCGACGCGAACGACCACGAAGGAGGAAGGACGGCGACGCCGACGACGACAACGACGAGGGAGGAGGGAAGACGACGACGACAACGACGACGACGACGACGACGACGACGACGGCGACGAAATAGGAGGGACGACGACGAGACGCCGACGGCGGACAACGACGACGACGTGGGAGGAGGAGGAAGGACGACCACGGCGACAACGACGACGGAAACGACCACGACGCCAAAGAGGACGACGACGACGAACACGAGGAAAGACAGAGGACGACGTAGGCGACGACGACGACGACGACGGCGACGCGGGAGGAGGGAGGACGGCGACGACGACGACGACGACGACGACGCAAGAGCGCGCGCGCACGCTTTTGTTGAACATGCGTGTTGCGAAGCCTTGGGTTTTTGTGGGTTTTCTGGGCGCACGATGTTGAAATCCTTCCGAAACCTACGGGTTTTGAAGGTTTTCGACATACGCCCGCGACGACGCGCGCGTCTGCACTTCGTCCCAATTTTTGCAGAGGATTCTCGCGACGGCACACGCGCAAGGGCGTTCGACAGATTTCGACATGCGCGCGCGAAGCCCGTTTGGTAGCATTTTTTGAAAATATTGAAAACCTATGGTTTTTTTAAGATTTCGCAAGAGCTCGCGCGGAAGCCTTTTCAGCAAATCAGTGTTGCGAAACCATGTGTTTTTGTATGTGTGTTGGAAACTCGATTGCGAAATCCCTCCGGCACCGAAGGTTTTTGAAGGATTTCGGCATGCGCGCGCGACGACGCGCGCGTGCGCACTTCGTCCCATGTTTTGCCAGGGATTCGTAAAAAAAGTGCGATGTTAGAACAAAAAATGACACCGCATACTGTATTTTTTACAAGGGAACCTCAGGGGGGGGAACCCGGCCTGGCTGGGATGATATGAGTTCATATTTAGGATGGACGACTGGTTAGAAACAGACATGATTCACATACCCGAAAGGGGGGCTGATAAGTCGGGGGGGTAGAGTCTATTCTTCTTTTAGAAAAGAAAACCCACTTTGACTGTCTTGAAGCTGTCCTCTCCACTGCTCGTGCAAACATCCCACCCACCCACCCGCAACTTGGTTTGCAAAACCTGTTCAGACCGACTACGACGACACCGACGACAACGACTAGGACGACACCGACGACGTCTCCGACGACTTCGACGACGACAACGACGCCGACGCCGACGACGACGAGGACGACGACGACGACGACGCCAACGAAGGCGACGACGAGGGAAGAGGAAGGACCACGACGGCGACAACGACGACAACGACGACAACGACGAGGGAGGAGGGAGGACGGCGACGACGCGAACGACGACGAAGGAGGAAGGACGGCGACGCCGACGACGACAACGACGAGGGAAGAGGGAAGACGACGGCGACAACGACGACGACGACGACGAGGGAGGAGGGGGACGGCGACGACGCGAACGACGAAGAAGGAGGAAGGACGGCGCGCCGACGACGACAACGACGAGGGACGAAGGAAGACGCACGAGGAACGACGAACGACGACGACGACGACCGACGACGCGACGACGGGAGGAGGGAGGACGACGACGACGACGAGGGAGGGGAGGAAGGACGACCACGGCGACAACGACGACGGAAACGACCACGACGCCAAAGAGGACGACGACGACGAACACGAGGAAAGACAGAGGACGACGTAGGGCGACGACGACGACGACGACGACGCGGGAGGAGGGAGGACGGCGACGACGACGACGACGACGCAAGAGCGTGCGCGCACGCTTTTGTTGAACATGCGTGTTGCGAAACCTTGGGTTTTTGTATGGTTTTTGGACGCGCG